GCGGAGTCGCTCAAGCAGATCTTCAGGCAAGGAAGATCCACTGGCGGGGTGCACAGTGTTTGATTTCACAGAAAGAATAACAGGGAAATGTGTTGTTTGATTTTCAGGCAAGCTCGCTGTGCTGGCGGGAGTTTCTATGCTCAAGCTTCTTTTAGGGGCTGAGCTTCCCACGATGCCTGATGTCAATCAGGGTTTGGGTGGGGGGGGGAGGGTCTGAAAAGCCTGAATCGCATGAACGGATATTTGCCTGGGTGACCCTGCAGGGTTGGATTCCCTCCTGCCGCCCCCCCATAATCTTGTCCACATGTTTGCAGCTGAGGAATCTGTGATCAATTCACGGATCTTTGATAGCCGAGCAGAGTTTCTTATTCATGATGAAGAACTTTAGCTTCGGGGGGCAGTCCCAAAAGCTTCGCGAAGGCACTTGTGTGACATGCTGCCAGGAAGACTCGCGAAGCCTCTCGCAAAAGCCGCGGGGGTCCCTTGAAGGCCCCCATCGTCTGCTCCAGCTGTGTATGAGCACCGAACCACAAGAAAGCACTGCTCACCTAGCCTTTGTTCGTATCACGTACTGTTGGTCACATGTTTAGACTCGTTATGTGCTGTCTTGTCTGCTTGTAGGGAGGAGAAGCGCAAAGACGTTGCTTTGCCGACTAGCAGGTAGAGTAGTTGACATCTCATTTGTCGGTCACAGTGAACACCGCTTGCGCATGTGCGAAAGCAACTCGCATGAGTGGAGCCTACTTGTTGGCCCATGTGTTTGTATTTTAATCCAGCACGATAACTATGAACCTACTTTGCGTGTAAATCGACTGTCGCGACCGGTAGATATGTCAGGCGTTGGCGCAAGAAAAAGCAAATGGACGTGAAAGGAAGGATATAGGCGGAGACTGTGGAGGACATGGCTGTGGGTCAAGAACATGTGCTAAAATGGCAGCTTGGTAAATGGAAACAAAGCCTAAACCTGCGTAACCCCAGCTGTTAAATTTGGAGACACACCCACATGTCAATGTGGCAACAGGGATCTTGAGCAAAGCTTGGGGCAACAAATCCGAAGAACGTGCCTCCTGGACAGAGCGCGCGTTGTAGGATTGGCTTTGTGCGATGGTTTGATTGGTTGGTTTGTTGATTTGGGTTTGTGTGTGGTCTGGTTGTTTCATGGTTTTTCTTGCCTTGGGTTTGTGTGCTTTGTGAGGTTTGGTGGGTTTCTTCGGTTTGGTTGAGTTGGTTGGTTTGCCAACGCGGGCACTTTGCCAGTCACTTCTACGACCGCCTCACGCTGGCCGGTGAGAGGCTGACTGCTCAGAGTGGTGGGGAATTGGGGTTCAGAGGGGAACAATCGAGCTTCGCGTTTTCCCACTTGAGGGTTCCTCGCCTTCCCTGTTCAGCCCGTTTGTCCCACCTCTTTGGCCACTTTCCGGCGGGTTTCCTTTGGGGCAGTCTGGGAAGCCCTGTCATGAAGTATGTTTGTTTGATTTTGGGCAATCGAATTTGTGGTTTTCCCTAGCGACAGCCGGGTCAACAGGTCAGCTTGCAGGCTCTTCAAAGGTTGGGGAGACTTCTTCTTCTCATATGGCCATGGTTCAAAACCAATGGTACCATTTTGGGATAGGTGAATTCACCAACCATTTTAGTCTTTTTTAGTGGGGATTGGGATGTTCACTGGGGGCACGGGGTTTTGACCCATGGCCATATGAAAGAAGCAAATGAGTTTGGTTCTCAAAACCCTGATTGAGGATACAAGAGAAGGTCCGCTAGACTCTAGACCTCTGTTTGGATCGGAGAGGTTCTTGACCCTTTGAAAAATCAAACGACCCACTTTGTTAGCCTAGAAAGCCATTCCAGATTGCGCGGTGGCCCTTTGGTGTCCCTTCAAGAGGGAGGGGCAGAGTGGGGGGGCAGGGTGGCGGGGAGGGGGTGCATCTGGTGGTCTATTCAAAAGAGCGCGTTCCCATTTTAAGCCTATTTTAAGCCTTAAGGCCAAGTCAGGCAAAACCAACACTTAGTCAGAGCAAGCAGATGTGGCAAGAGCTGACAACCCGTGCTGATTCTGCGGTTAACAGAATGCACCCCCCAGCACCCCCCGCCACGGGAAACCAGGCTGTCCACTCCTGCGATGTGAGGCCAGTGGTGACCGACAGCATCGCAGCCCAGAGCTACCGATGTCAGGCTCCGAAAAAGCGACCCGTTTTTGGGCGTTGGTTTGACGGAAAGCCAAAAGGAAACCGACCTTTGTGGGCGGGGGGGGCACTCATGAGACCCAAATTTTGAATTGACTAACCTTGCGGTTGCCCTCAAATGTGGGATTCGAGGAGCACTAGAACGCAACGGGTTCTGCGGGGCTGGATTTTAACTCGGAGTGAAGCTAAGCTTCTGCATCTATGAGAGCTTCGTCGCAACCGGCTTTAGCACATACGAACTTTGTCCTGACAAAAATGAGAACAAACATTTTGAGTATTAGCCGGCGGTATTAGCCGGGGCTGAAATCTAAAGGTATACACAAAACAGCATCCCTAAAAACAAAGACACTGAGCAATTCGGAGTACGAGTGACTGGCGGGGCACGAGCTTGTTGTTTCCATGTCCGAATTCCCAGCTCCAAACAGCAGGTGTTGGGGCTAAGGTGAATGACTTACCCGCCAAGAGTGATAAGGTGAATTACTCTGCTGTCCAGATTCTCAGGTGCAAGTACCAGTGGGGTTGGGACTAATCAGGGTCAACTCTACTCTTTCGGTGAATTCCTCCGCAAACCCAGACACCTATGCTATCCCTCCATTGCTAGGGGTTAACCAGGGGTAAGGTGAATTGCCTCAAGGCCCAAGAGGCTTCCGGTGAATTACGAACGTTTGGCCATGCATTCGACAAATAGGCATCTAGGGCCCCCAGTTGTGCCCTTTCTGACCAACTTTTCTGGTTGGGAGGGTTCTACAAAAATAGACCTAACTGAAGAAAACAACGTGTACCAACTTATATTCTAACCACCCAAACTGGAGGACCTAGGCGTAGTCCCAACGTTTGGGAGGTGCTGTTTCCCCAGGGTTTTGGGTGGTTTTTTAGAAAGAAGGATGCCTGGAAGGAATGGGGTACCTTACCCCTAGAAAAACGTACGGAGTAGGGGAAGGTGAATGAATTCGCACAAACTCGCCCAGTCGGCCTAAGGCTAAGGTGAATTGCCTCAAGGTCAAGGGGTTTCCGCTGAACGACGTTTGTCGGAGGTTTGCCAACTAGTGGGTTTTCCGTATTAAACCACTAAAAGTTATTCACTTTTAGCAGAGCAGATATCGCAACCGAAGGCTTTCTGGTGAATTGCCTCAAGGTCCAAGGGGTTTCCCTCAAGGTTATTCAGCGGGATTCCGCTGAACGACGTTTGTAAGGTGAATGACTCCCCTGGAACGCTCGAAAACCGTACGGATTACTTCAAGGGTAAGAACGAATTCGCAGGAACTCAGCCCATTTTGCCAATTGAGCGGCTTTTTTTTACCCGCAAGCTAATTTAGTGGGGAGAGGGACATTATTATTGAAAATGTGCGCCGCGCCACACGCGCGGAAGCATGCGGAAGGCTCGCGGAAGAGATTTGTTCGCGGAAGGTTTGCGGAAGCTTGGTGGCTGATATACAACTAAATGTTTCAGTGCGTGCATGGAAAAGCTCGGAGAAGCAATTCCAGTAGAAGAAAAGGTGTTGCTGCGTACAAGAAACGTAACGCTTACTCGAAGAGCAGATGCCAACAGCAGCCAAGAAGGCCAAAACAGCCGGCGTACTTCGCGGAAGGTTTGCGGAAGCTTCGCGGAAGCTCCGCGGAAGGGTGGCCCCGTGTTTGCAGGCAAGCGGCCAAGTAGCATGGGTAGCCCAATGGAGCCCAAGCCTACACAAGCTGCGGCGGAACACTACCTCACTTAAAATGACTTTCCTTTCTGCGCCAATGCTCGCGGAAGCAAAACTTGTAAACCATGCCCCGCGGAAGGTTTGCGGAAGCAAACAATGAAACACATGTGCCGCGGAAGTTCGCGGAAGAGACCTCTTAGGCCCGCGGCAAGGATGCGGAAGAGTCCGCGGAAGCTTGAATAATGTCCAAGCAAGTTTGTAGGGAATAAAAACCAACGCTCAATTGGCGCAAAGGGTTTCGGAGCTTCGGAGGTGCTCTTGGGCCTCTTGGACGAGGCGGAGGCCAAGTCCAAGGGCCGGCTGCGGGACGTGGCCTTCCCCGCCTCCGAGGCGAAGAGATCGACGCATCGACGCATCGGCGCATCGGCGGGCGGTTCGTTTCCCCCGGCGGTGTTCTTCCAGTTGCTTGAAATGAATACTTGTTACTTTCCCCTGTTGGTTTCAAAGGGACTCGATTTCACTGCTGGAAATATATGTTTGTTTATGATTTTTCTTATTTGGTCGTAACCAAATGGAAGTGTTGGAGGTGTTCAAGGGAAAACCACGGGAAAACCGAGAACTTGGTGGCTCCCAGCCATCCGGTTCCTTAGCTTTGTAGCCTTTTAGTGTTTAGTGGTGGTTTCAAATCCCTTAACCCACTAAAAGTTAAACTTGTAGCGGGGGATGTGAGGGCAGCCCAGAAATGCATTTTGCTCCCCCCCCCTCACCTTTTTTTGGTTTCGTTGGAAGGGAAACCAAGGGAAAAACTGTTTGTTGAATCACAGTTTGGGGGTCCCCCCAAAACAGGACACTTGGAGGGATTCTTGATAAGGACTTCAGACCCGCTTTTGGTATCTGAAAAAGAAGGCAACAGGAATCCCAACGTTTTGGGGGCCCTACATGTTCCTGGAAGGTTCAGACCACTTAGAAGTAGGTGGAGAGCCATTGTAAGGGCAAACAAAACCCTGGTTACCCAAGTTATATCATGTTATATCCGTGTACAAGCAGGAAATAGTCATAACTTCCCCAAGTTGCCCCACTTAGTCCTCAGTGCAAGAGGGAGCCATTCGCCTCCCCCCCCCCAAAAAAAAAAAAAGAGGCGCTGGATTCTTGTTGCTTAGTGCATAGGCCCCGTATGGTTCGGATTTCCCGCCTTCACTTCGGGTCCTGTTTTCTTTTCGGCTTCTCCATGGCACGGATCGATCGCCCCCCCTGTTTGCCATGCACATGGGGTCGGCGGAGTTTTGGTCACGAGGTGCAATGCGGAAAACTCCGCCGAGTTTTCTTTGGTGGGGCTTCCTCTTTACATAAAAATAATAAAAAACAATAAATAAAAAAAAATCAAATCCCCGGAACATCTCAGGAAAGACCCCCGTGTGCCCGGACTTGGTGTTCCAGTGGGCTTTTTCAATCATCCCCATCCTTTCCCACAGAAATCCATTTTTTTTCTCAAAAGTAGGAACCCCCCACTGGTACCATACTAGGAGCCTTTGGTGTGTTGAGCTGCTTTGCTTTACTCGTTCCTGTTCCTGAGGCTTTTTTGGCTACAATAACGTTGTTTCCCTTCCCACTTGAGAATTGAAAACAAAACAAAAAACGGCAAAACAGACCAGGCCCCTTCGTTTTGGCTGCCATCTCGACATGTTGTTGCCTTTCAAACTCACCAGAACCCCCTGCCCCCCATTTTTGAGCGCACAAGAAAATATTCTAGGTCCCCCAGTAGTGCCCTTTTACCGTTTCTTATTTGGGGGAGGGTTCCACTAAAATAGACTACAGAAAAAAGTAACGGTACCAACTTATTCTAACTACTAACCTCTCTACTGGAGGACCTAGCATAGGACCCCTAAAAACAACACACAAAGAAAAACCTTGGTATTTGAAACCTACCCCCCCCCCCCTACTGGAGGACCTAGATCCACTCCGAGCCTTGCGCAGCAGCGACGTTGGAGCCGAAGACGTTCCGAATCCCAGGCGGCTGCGCAGCTGGCACGGCTCCGCGCACAGGAGAAGCAGCTGCTGGAGGCCAAGCGCCCGTGCCAACGTGCGTCCCCTGGGTATTCTCAGGACATTTTGATGTGTGGTTGGTATAAATCATGTCTGTTTTGGTTTTTTGGGCATATGTCCATGTTTGGTTTATATGAATCGTTTGGATTGCAGAAAAACCACTTGTATTTTGCATTTAGTGCGAGTTTCCCCTGGGTAGGGTTTGTCCACTAGATGTCCATGTTTGGGTTGAACACATCATTTGCTTTGCATATCCTGGGGTGATGGGGTGATATTGTAGGGAAGCGCGTCCAGCAGAAGCCCCCATCAGGCTGATTATCGAAATAGGGCTAACCATGATTCTAAGGGCGGTTGAAGCCAGGGAGGCTCAGGATTTGATGGTGTGGAAAACTATCACGAGTTTTGTGTTTTTTGGTTGGGGGGGGAACAAGCAAAAACCCAACATGAAGCTTCTTTACTCATGTCCGTTTTGGCCATGACTGCAATTTGCCCGACGTGTGGCAAAGCTCCTCAGGAAAACGAGAGTGTTTGGGGTTGGAGAAGGCATGCTTTCACAAGGAGCCGTATGTGTAACCTACAAGACGTGGCATATAAAAGTTCCGCACAATTGGGAGCCTCATGTTCGTTCACCGCCGGTGTCCGTAATTTTGAGCATTGGTGTACGGAAAGTCCGGGTGTTAGGTTGCATTCGTTTGCTCGCTAAGGGAACCGCCCTTTGAAGTCACCATGCCTAGGCCTTTCCCATTTCTACAACCATGCCTCCTTTGTTCTATTTGCTTTGGCAGGGGTTGGTTGAGTTACTTTCACAATGAGGTGCCCATTCGAATTTGTCGTTTGATCTTTTCCGGTCGGTTTGGCAGGGAAAGAGTCATGGTCAATATGTTGCTTTTGGTAGCACCTGAAGCACACAGACGGTTCTGAAGGTCGATAGGGGTTTTCACACTCGATTTGTGTTGGATGCACAGCCATGAAATTTGCAGGCAGCACGTTCAGTTTCGTCGAGCCCCAATTTGCTTGACAGTGTATTTGCTTGACGTTTTTTTAGGAGAGACCCGATTATGAGAAGGCGGATCACCCGGCCGGTAAGTACAAAACAGGGGCCATTCGTTTGGTTCCACACCCAGACACTCCAGATGGGAGCTGCAAGTAACCTCCACTGGGTCGGGAATTCGGGTTGTAGGTACAGTCTTGAGTCAGGAGGATATGCCTTGATCCCTCAGACCTTCAATTGTCACGACACAAATCCTACTTCCGTTGACCTCCTATAGGTGCAGACTATGACAAGTTGGGTTCTATCAATGGAGTTACAAGATCGGAGGACAATAAGCTGAGCTCGGTTGCCCAAAGCGAATCGACCTTTTTACCTTTTGGTTGTCCAGATTTGGTCTTTTTCTAGCCAAGGTTCCAAAAGGTTATAAGTTATAACCTTTTGTTTCCATTTCTTTGGGGCAACTGAGTGCGTGTTGTTCAATTCGCCCCACCCCCCCTCCACACCCCCCCCACCACCCCACCACCCCCACCCCCCCTCGGAGGCCGACGAGGAGGTGGACGCTCAGATCGCGGAGCTCTCCGCAAAGCTGAGGCAATTGGAGAAGACGCGGCGGGAGCTCCTGGCGCCTCGGCACGTGACGTGACCTTCGTCGCTTTTCTGAGGTAAGGGGATCGGGGGGGGGGTGGACGTCCTTAACAATATGACACTGCCGAAGTTCAAATCAACCCTCTTAAATTCTTTGGTGCTTTCCTCAAAGTGTGTAATTACTTGGCACGGTTCCTTGAAGGGTTAGCAGCCTCGGATTTTTTGCCGATGGGTTGACCTGTTGACCTGTATTTGAAGGGATTTTTGTTGCATGTTGCCAAGGGATGTTAGGACTTTAACTTCTTGCCAACTAACGGGCTTTCCGTATTAAGCCACAAAAGGTTCCGCTTTTAGCAGGGGAGCGGATTTCGCAACCGAGGGATATGATCATGACCCCTCCAATGCCCCGGGCCATCCAATGGAGAACCCAGAGCGACCAATTCCGCAGGGGCGCTTTAAGGGAAACCACCTGTCTTGAGGGCCAAAATCCATGGAAAATACTCTAGGGTCTGCGATTTGTCTGTAAAATAGAGGGGGGGGAACCTGCCCATTTGTTTGAGGATATTTCTTTGAGGCACCATTGGGTTTGTATGGGACTGAACCTCCATTTGCTCAGGATTTCTGACTTCAGGTGTTGGAATTGTGGACATTGCAGATGTGTCATCTTATAAATATTGTTCTTTTCCCCTGGTGGTTTTAAAGTGAATCTATCACTACTGGACATATGTTTTATTTTTCCAAGGGGCTTAAGCACATAGAGGGAAACCGTTTTGGGTGTTTAAACACACAACAGGACGTTCAACCCAACCTCCCCAGTCGCCTCTGGTTGCTTGCGTCTTCTTTTGCTGCTACCGTAGCCGTGGCTGTAGCCGTGGCTGTTGCCACCCGGTTCCGAGGAGGTCTCTTGCAGTTTCATCACCTAAGTTGGAAGCATGTGGAACATGGCTTGCTTGGACATGGCGCCGGCAGCAAGGACTGCGAGAATTGCGGCTGGAGAGAATTGCCAAGGCTTCCCGTTTCAACCAACTTGTTGGGGAGTTGTCCAGGGAGCAGACAAGCAGCAAACTACGATTTCCCTGATTTTCGCTCTTGGGCTTGCGGGAAAGTGTGGCTTGGGTTGCCGCAAAGCCTGTGATATCAGGACTTGGACAGAACGAAGATCATGGGGATGGCATGCTGGCAATCATCTGGGTGAATTGTATCGACCTCACACGACCTCACCCCAAATGGTGGGTTTATGTGGGGAATAGCCCCCGCAACCGCCTTATTTCAGGTTGGATATTATAATTCACACAGAATCATGAGGGGGGTTGCAGCTCCTTCAGCAAACAGGAAGCTTCTTGGAAAGTCTACCTTTGATAAGCAATCTCGCGGAAGACGCTCATCTGTTTTGATAGGGCGAAGGGAATCTTCATGGCAGAGCAATATGAAGAAGTTGAGCGGGATTTTGACGCGAGCTCGAGTCGGGAATGCAGATTGACAGTGGGGAAGTCAATTATCACGATGACATTTATGGCCCAGAGGTACATGAGGTAGGTTCTCATGTAGTCAGTTGCATGTTGTACATTCAAGTGGTTGCCAAAGCATGATCCAATCACTGTTTTGGCTCAAGTGCTGAAAACAGCGCGTTGCACCGCGCTAGCCCCAAGGTTAAGGGAGAGGTCGCAGTCACGGAGGGGTTCGTTCCTTTTAAGGTCCCGGGTTCCCCCGTTGTTGACAAAACTGTGTTTCCCTCTCCTTTGAGTGGTTATCAGCCGTAACGCTTTTCGGGTAAACAAACCCTTCCGTGACTGCGACCTGTTGGTCGCACATGGAAGTCGGCCCTCACCGCGGCACACGCGGTGGGAAAGGGCCGCGTGCCCGATTGTACAACACTCTGCAACAGATCGTCGTCGACGAGTACAAGCGGCAGAACAGACGATTCCGGTGGGTCAGATTTGCGGACGCCTCGAAGCAACAGGTCGAGGCGCTCTTCTCCTGGCGTGAGTCACTGGATAGTTGGCACCTGTGGAATTTTGACCAAGAAGCCTTCGACGTGATCCAGGCCGCGGACAACGCTTATCAGCAGCGTCTCGCATTGGTTGAAACCACAGGAGTGGTCTTGCCGCAGGGTGTGCCATCTCAGGATCAAGCCGCAGCCTCAGGCGCGGCGGGAGCATCGAGCAGTGCAGCGGACTGGCTTCGTCCTCCGACGCCTCCATCAGCTTCCTCCTGGTTGCAAGATTCGCGCACTCCTTTGCCTCGCATTCGGCCATCTGCAGAGGAAAGACAAGCCGCAAAGTCAACTCTTCGCGGGGTATACGCTAAAGCTGCGGAAACGCGGCGGGAGAGCAGCAGGGAGCGATCAACACAAAGATCGAGGTCCCCATCGCCAAGAAGGTCGAGGTCTCCATCAACATCACCGAGACGAGGACCAACTGCTGCTGCCCCTGTGGAACCACGGGCCCATAGTGTTGAACCCGCGCTTGCGCGGGAGGGAAGGCCATCCAGAACTTCCCTAGCCACTCGGCCCATCGTTTTGGCTCCGCAGAATAGCATTTACCCTGTGACGAGGTTTGACGAACACGGTACCTGGGTATTGGTGCGGGAGGCATCACAACCACGTGAAGCGGCTCCTCGTCGGCGAGCGCAACGGACGTCTGGGCAACTTCGCCAAGCCGATCCTTACCTCCTCGCTGACGAGACGTGGAGGGACCCGCCAAGGAGGTCCTCCACGAGCTCACGCTCACGGTCTCCTGACCGCCGCCCGGCGCCTGCGGAAACCTTCCGCCTCGACGCCTACAGCTCGGACGAGGACCCACCGCAAAACTTGGAGTCCATCAGGACGGGCAGGTCAGCATACGTGCCTCGGCGCGTTTACGAGGCGCCGACTCACTCCGAGCCCATCGCGCTTCACAGCCGAAGAATCGGGGCAGTTCAACCGCCGCCCCCAAAGGCCGCTCCCAAGGTCATCTTCGGCAGCAAGCCACCGTTGCCCAAGGAGGTCCCCAAGGCAGTTTATCCAGCGCCTGCAAAGGCAGACATCCCGAGGAAGTCACCGCCAAGGGCCAGATCTCCGGTTCGGACTCAGAGTGCATTCGGGTACAAGGCACCTCCGCGAGGCTTGAACAAGGCCGAACCCAGAAGCAAATCGAGCTCAAACCCGCCACAATTCGGGTACATCGTCAAGCCGCCACCTCCGCAGGTCGTTCAAGCAGCTGCTGCTAGCGCTGCAACTCCCGAAGCTGGCACGCGATTCCGCTCGCCACCAAGGAGGGCACCGCCTGCGCCCCCGCCGCCACCACCTCCGCCTGGAAGGCCGGTGCCGCCCAAGGTTGTTGCTCTTGACTGGCACGGAGTTCTTGACGTTGGGCAGCAGGGACCCCACCTCAACCCGGAAGTGATCCGACATCTCGTTCAGTTTGCAGCGGACTACGCACCTATAAATTTTATAGTGCTATCCTTCGTGGGCAGGGCTGCAAGCGAGTATCGCCGCCGCGAATTTCAGGTCGCCCTGGAGCACGCGCGGACAACATCTGGACTCACTTTTTCTGCGATAAAAATCGTTCACGAACGGTTGGGAAGGGGAGGCAAAGCAGACGCCCTGCAAGGGCTGGGCGTACACGCCCTTATTGACGATACAGCATCGATTGTCCGTGAAGCTCAAAAGACAGGCATCGCGGCGTTCCGCAATTATCCGCACTTCGGTCCGGGAGGTTTTGGCAACGCGCTTGAGAACCTCGGTGAGTTCATTGAATCCCGGAACAGACAATTTATTCCGGCGGCGCGAGGCTTGCATCCATCGCAATACCTCGAAGAAATTCACCGATCTGCATCTCAGCTACCCGCCAGCCGGGTACTTCGGTAGTTATTGCTGCGAGCCGTTAAAACCGTCGCTTTGCGCGGTACAGCTTTTGCAATTACAAGCTTCCGATTTGCAGACAAATTCTCAATACAGCTTGGCAACATCTCTCGATAAAGCACCATAGTGCGGCAGTGCGGATCAATCAATCTACAAGTACAATTACAAATACAGAATTCATCAGGTGCAAAGCAGCAGGGCGTATTTTCTTGAGTGGCTCACTTGAGCGTTTCGCAACGTATTTTCTTGAGTGGCTCACTTGAGCGTTTCGCAACCAGCTGCCAATCCAGGGATATCTCCTCGTAGCACCTTTTGACACGCTGCTCAAAGCGCGTGGAGCTAGCTTCGTGTGAGTGCAAAAGTTGCATTGCTGTGTCATGGCTTCAACGGGCCTTTCACCGCCATCAGAACCCCGTTCAAGGTCAACCCCAAATAGGGATTCTGAACCGGATGACCCTGACCTAGCCATGGTTCCTGCAGCTATGTCCACAGTTCGCACATCCACACCTCAAAGAGCAGCCCAAACACGACCATCATCACCCCCGAGTGGTCCGATCGTGTCAGAACCGACATCATCCGAAGCTTCCCCAGTCATTCAGTTTCCTTCACAGGGATCGCAATTACCTGACCCGATGACTAACGTACCCGCTGCGGCATTTATAGCTGGAGCTGCGGTGCAGCAAGCTCATCGAGCATCCGACCTCGCTGCTCAGGCAGCCAATCACGCCTTGCATCAACAGCAGGCCGCCGATCAGGCGAGACAAGAGGCCGGATGGATCAGGGAAAGGGCTGTTAGAGAAGTTTCAGACGTTAGGGTTCAGGCCGCTCAGCTAGCTTCGCAAGCGCAGCAGGCTGTTCAAACAGCACAACAAAGTGAGGCTCAGGCTAGGCAACTCATTGAGCAGACACGACAGGAAGCCTTAGGCCATGTCGAGAACGCACGACAGGTTGTTAATGCCACTCAACAGGACGCTCAGCAAGAGGTTCAACGCATTGTTCAAGAGGCTCAACAGGCAATCCTACAAAGGGAGCAAACCATTGCCAGTCAAGAGCATACCATTCGTGGATTGTCCCAGGAAAATTCTGTGATGCATCAACGACTTGGTGATCTCGAACGTGTTGTTGCGCAGCTCACCCAACAAGCTCGTGCGACCCCTGTTCCGATGCAAGAGTCCCCGCCGAAAGCCGCATCAATAGCCGAAACAGCTACGGAAACA